CCCTTCGCCGCTCCGCCGCCGTGCCGGGGGTAATTTGGCAGGAATAACAAGTTCTCCGGTGACCTGAACGCCGGAGCGTTAATGGTGGGGTGGGATCCGAGCCGTCAGCCGGGATCGGGAAGCGGACGCGGAGCTTCGCTCGTCCTCGCTCACCTGTTCGTACAAACATGACACAGTTCCGAAAGGAACGTCCCAAATTAAGTGTGCTGTGCATAAATAAGCTTTCTGGGTTCATTTCCCTGCCATTTATACTGTCCTGTGGATCACAGGTGAATCTGATTTTCCAAGCTCAACCCTCAGTGATTTCCTTGAGCTCCGTGAGGACGCGGCCGATCCTAGACCGACATTCCCATACCTTGGAGAACCAGCGTGGGATCCACGCTCTCCCCTTTTTTTTTTTCCTTCAGCAGAGATTGCTCTGCAGCCCAAATTGAAATGAGCCTGGTGAGAGAGTGAGCTGTGTTTTATGGTTCCCTCAGCTGTGCTGTGCTTGGCTCATTGCTGGTGTAAGGCTCAGCTCCTCTGCCTTTCAGCAGCGCTAAATTAATTCAAAAGAAAACTCATTTTCTGGCGGCGTGGTGGGCGCAACAGGCATGGAAAAAGGGGAAAAAAAATGAAAAGGCAGGTTTAATTTTCGTTCTTTTGTCAGGGAGTGGTTTTCCTGGCGCTTTTGGGAACGCTGTGCCAGGCAGAGCAGGGGCTGCTTGCCCATGAAATCCGTCTCTGTGGCAGCAGATGTGCTCTGGGAGTCGGTGCCTCCTCGTGACCCAGAGCTTTGGGAAGCTGGATCCTCAAAAAACTGGCAGAGCTGGAGAGGTGGGGAGTGTTTGTGCAGCCTTGATTTGCCCACCCTGTGTCTGGGCCTTGGGTTGTACAATTACCTCCTTTTTTTCCCCCCTTTTTCTCCAAGACCTTTGCCCGGTTCAGCTCCCGAGATAGTTTCTGTGCTGCTCTAAGAATTCTGATTTTAGTGGGAAGGACCTTTGTTCCTTGGATATAAATAACATTCCCCTTTCCTCTGGCAGCTCTGAGGTGAGGTGTGGGTTCAGCTTGTGGGTTAAGAGAGCTCAGCTCTGATGTGTCTGTGTGAGCTGGGTGCCTGATGGGATGAAATCCATGGAGAGGGATCCAGCTCATGCTGGGTCTGTGTCTCTCTGACTAAGCCCAGCTCAATGTGGGTCTTTGCATCCATGATCTGATCCCACACTAAGAGTCCTGGCTCTGTTGTGGGCTGGGACAGGAGGTGTTTCCTTCTTCATCCCTGACTCCTTGAGCTTGTGCCGGTTCTTATTGCAGCACAGCTTTGTGCAAGATGCTCCTGTTTCTCCCAGTGTTGGGTTTTGGTTCCATTCTCCTTTCCAGATCACAGAATCGTGGAATAATTAAATTTGGAAAGGACCTTTAGGATCATCCAGTCCAACCATCAACCAGCACCACCACCGTGTTCACCACTGACCCGTGTCTCCAAGTGCCACATCCACACCTTTTTTGAACATTTCCAGGGATGGAGACTCCACCCCTGCCCTGGGAAGTTCATTCCAGTGCCTGACCGCCCTTTCCATGAAGGAATTGTTCCCAATATCCAACCTGAACCTCCCCTGGCACAGCTGGAGGCCGTCTCCCCTTGTCCCGTCCCTTGTTCCCTGGGAGCAGAGCCTGACTCCTCCTGGCTTCCCCCTCCTGTCAGGGAGTTGTGGGGTGGGAAAAGGTTCCTCCTGATCCCTCTTTTCTCCAGGCTGAGCACCCCCCCGGCTCCCTCAGCCACTCCTGCTGCTCCAGCCCCTTCCCACCTCTGTTCCCTTCCCTGGACATGCCCTAGCCCTCCATATGTCTCTTGTCTGAGGGGCCCAGAGCTGCCCCAGGGTTCATGTTGTGCCATTCACAGGGGGTTGGAGCCGTGACGAAGAACATTTGACTTCACCCCATTCCAGGAACCTGCTCCTTGGATCCAGCCCATCCTCCCTGGAGCTGCCAGGGGTGTCTGTGCTTAGGGAGGATCCCGTTTTAAGCTACTAAAATCTGAAATAATTTCCCAAACAGTGAGTCAACCACCACTACAAGTTGAGTGGGATCCCAGAATCTCAGCACAGTTTAGATTGGGAGGGACCTTAAAGCTTATCCTGTTCCATGGGCAGGGACACCTGCCCCTATCCCAGGTTGCTCCGAGCCTCGGGCAGGGATGAGCAGCTGTTGGCACCTTGGAGCTCTGACAGGCAGCAAACAGAGCTGGGCAAGTGGCACCATCAGTTCCTGGAGCTCCTGCAGGAAACCTGAACATGTGTTTTTCCACCTGTGGAGAAAACAAACCCCTGTGATTTTGAGCCCCTTTTTCAGGAGTGAGGATGTCACAGCTTGAGGGGGAATGTGGATCTGCTGGAAGGCAGGAGGGCTCTACAGAGGGACCTGCACAGGCTGGATCCAGGGGCTGATTCCAATGGGATGAGGTTCCACAAGGCCAAGGGCCGGGTCCTGCCCTTTGGCCACAACAACCCCCGGCAGCTCCAGGCTGGCACAGAGGGGCTGGAGAGCAGCCAGGCAGGAAGGGAGCTGGGAGTTGGGATGACCGGGAAGCTGAACAGGAGCCAGAGTGTGCCCAGGGGGCCAAGAGGGCCGATGGATCCTGGCCTGGATCGGGATCAGTGTGGCAGCAGGAGCAGGGCAGGGATTGTGCCCCTGTGAGGCCACCCCTGGAGTGCTGTGTCCAGCTCTGGGCCCTCAGCTCAGGAAGGACATGGAGGGGCTGGAGCAGGTGCAGAGAAGAGCAGCGAGGCTGGGAAGGGACTGGAGCACAATTCCCGTGAGGAGAGGCTGAGGGAGCTGGGGGGGCTCAGCCTGGAGAGGAGGAGGCTCAGGGGAGACCTCATCCCTCTGCACAACTCCCTGCCAGGAGGGGGGAGCCGGGTGGGATCGGGCTCTTCTCCCAGGCAGCAATCAGTGAGGCAAGAGGGCTCGGCCTCCAGCTGTGCCAGGGAAAGTTTAGGTTGGATATTCAGAAGGAATTCTTTCCAGAGAGAGTAATCAGCCCTTGGAATGGGCTGCCCAGGGAAGTGGTGGATTCTCTTTCCCTGGGGGTGTTTAAGGCCAGACTGGATGTGGCATCAGTGCCATGGGCTGGGAACCACGGCGGGGTTGGATCAAGGGTTGGACTTGCTGATCTCAGAGGTCCTTTCCAACCCAGCTGATTCCATGATGACAGCTGAATTCTATGAGCTTTACTGGAATTGCCTTGGCAGGAGAACCAACTCAGTTAAACCACAGCTTTGCCCCGGCACTTTGGGCTGATGGCTGCTCTTTATTAGATCTCCTTATAATTTTATTGCTGCAATTCCCTTGTTTCTTCAAAGCAGCAAGTCAGGCTGTTTTCCTTTCCTCGAGTTAAATGGTTTTATCTGCGAGTCGGATGGGGATGAGCCAGATCCTGCTTAATAAGTGCATGAAGGAACTGCAAAGCTGGACACTGTGCAGCAAGACTTTTTGAGTTTTCAGAGCTGTTTCCCTCAATATCAGCTAAGGAGTGGTTCTTACTGAGAATATGCGACTTTCCTTAGGCCACAGTGAGCCAATATCGGGCCGGGAACTGTGAAATTGGAGCTCTGTTTTTTCCAAGGATGTGTCAGTCTCCCTTGATTTTGTCTCTCTCATCAAATGGAGCCGGAAAAACTCGAGTTTCGGTCTAGATTTAATAAAAGAGAGGCTGTCGTGCCTTTTCTCTCCCCGTTTTAGGCGTAAGGATTTTTTTCCCCTCCGCGCCTCCGACTCCGGATCGACAATTCCCCGGTAAACTGCCTCTGTAATTATGACCCAATGGTTGATCGTATCGATTTGGCAGCAGACAGGGGAAATTGTTGCTCTTTTCGAGTTTTCCTGAAGTAATTGCACGGCAAAGCTGCGAGGAAATCGAGGGCAGATCTTGGGCATCTCCTCCTGGAAGTTTTATTCCGGCCTTTGTTCCGCTGTCTGGAGCGGGGTGATGAGCTGATGCTCTCGGGTGACACAGTTTGTTGTCCCTGGGATGTATTATCTGCTTCCTTACACTTGGATAAAGAAAGAAGGGGATGGGGGAGTAAAACCTGCCCTCTGGGAAGAGCTGAGATCGATTTCCTGGCAGAGGTGGAATTTAACTAAAGGTCAGATAAAATTGTGCTGGAATCCACAGAAGGAACAGCTGAAATGGGGCTAAAAGCTGCTTTTTCCTTTTTTGGGTTTTATGTTGCTTGGTGAAGCAAAGAGACTCTGTTCAGTGTTAGTCCTGGATTCCTGGAGAGAAATTCCTCCTTGGATTGCTCTTCTCTGAGGGTGGTGAGGCCCTGGCACTGATTGCCCAGAGAATTTGTGGCTGCCCCCGGATCCCTGGAAGTGTCCAAGGCCAGGTTGGAGCAACCTGAGATAGTGAGAGGTGTCGGAGTTGGAATGAGATGAGCTTTAAGGTCCCTTCCCACCCAAACCAGTCTGGGATTCTGTCATTCCACGGAGCTGGATGGTGCTACTGGCTGGGATGGCTCCAGGCTGAGGTTCTCAGCAGACTATCCCTGTGGAATGTGGCTCCAAGGGGTCAAAGGGAAACACTGAGCTCCAGGGAGACCTTGGAGCCCCTTCCAGAGCCTAAAGGGGCTCCAGGAGAGCTGGAGAGGGACTTGGGACAAGGGCTGGAGGGACAGGACACAGGGAATTCCCATTGCCAGAGGGCAGGGAGAGATGGGAGATTGGGAAGGAATTCTTCCCTGTGAGAGTGATGAAGGGCTAGGATTGAATTCCCAGAGAAGCTGTGGCTACCCCTGGATCCCTGGAAGTGTCCAAAGCCACGTTGGAGCAGCCTGGGATTGTGAGAGATGTCGGGGTTAGAACTGGATGATGTTCAAGGTCCCTTCCAAAACAAACCATCCTGGGATTCTGTGATTCTCCTTGGGGCTGATAACCCTCTCCCATGGGATTTTTCCCTACTTCAGTGTGGGTTTGGTGGCCTGGGAGGGCTGAAGTAGGAAAAAATCCTGTGGGAGAGGGTTTAGGGGTGGACTTGGCAGTGCTGGGGGAACGGTTGGACTTGATGATCTGAGAGGGCTTTTCCCACCCGAGCAAGGTCATGATTCCATGATTTTAAGGAGGAGAGGAGCTGTAGTTTGGCCAGAGCTTCACAGCACCTTCAAACTTCCCTCGTCTGAACCTCTTCTTCCTTCTTTGTCCCTTCATCACGTCCTTCAGCACGACATTCCCGGCTCCTTTCCTTTAGTTGTCATTGTCAAATGCAATTAGTGGTAATTAAAGGAGACAGAAAGTCCATAAGAGTGTCCTGGAAGCAAGGGCAGGAGTTTGGGAATGGTTGGTTGAGCGTATGGGGCGACCATCCTGTCCTTCCATCCTCCATCCCTTTGCCTTTGGCTGCACAAGACCCAGAGCTGGAATAACCAGGATGGTGTGGAATGACCAGGATGGTGTGGAATGACCAGGAAGATGTGGAATGACCAGGAAGGTGTGGAATGACCGGGAAGGTGTGGAATGACCAGGATGGTGTGGAATGACCAGGAAGGTGTGGAATGACCAGGAAGGTGTGGAACGACCAGGAAGGTGTGGAATGACCAGGATGGTGTGGAATGACCAGTAAGGTGTGGAATGACCAGGACGGTGTATTTCACTATCTATATCTTCCACAGAAGATGAATAATTGGGGTTTTTTTTACTGCCATTCATTTATTAATCCGAAATTTAAAGTATCTGGCTCATGGAGAAGGGAATTGTGTGCACTCCTCATGGACAGGCTGAACCCGGGACGTTTTCCAGCCACTTCACTCCCTTTTTTCCTTCGGAAATCTTGGCAAAGCCTGTGTTTTGCTGACGTGTTGTATTTACTAGGATAAGTTTTTTGCTTTCTTTAGCTGCCAAAAACCCCAAAGCACCTCCCTCTTCATGCAGATCGAGGTTCTCGTTCCCATCAAGCTCGATTCCATCGGATGGAAGATGGATTCCTGTCCTCTGGCTGCCTGCAATGGGCTGCTCCCAACGACACATTGTGTGGTTTTCCTCTGAAGCAAAGTTTGACAAACACGTGGAGCTTTGCCTGGATTTCTAAAAACCACGATGTGGGAATAATTGCATTCAGAAATAATGGAAAGGTATTAGGAAAAGGAATTAGTGATCAATTAATGCAGCGGAGGGAAGTCGTTAGAGGTGTGTCCCAGAGGAACCTGTGCTGGAACAGGTTGTTTTGACCCACAGCCAAGGGGCAGGAGGAAATCAGTGTAGATAGAAAGCCATGCACATGAGATTTTTCCTTGTTTTCCTGCACAACAACGGGCTCCAGGCTGGCTGATGCCGCTCAGGAATCAGATTTTTAAAGTTCCAGTTGATAACTGTGAGAAAAACACAGGCTGGATGCTCGATATTAGTTAAAAAACCAGCTCAGGGTGAGGAATTCTAATGAAGGGAACGGGGAGCAAAGTGGGAAATGGTGCTGTGCTGCTGCATCCTTCGGCAGTGCCTTCACAGCTGGAACCTGGGCTCGGCTCTTCCTTTAAAAATAAAAGGGAAGGGAGGAGGAAAATGATGCTGGAGATCCAGGGAGAAGATATTTGAGAGATTTATGAATAGGGAGATATAGAATAATAGAGATTTGTGGAGTCCTGGGTGGATTAAAAAAAAAGGATAAATGTTGATTTGTGCCACAGGAAGGAGGGGTTGTCAGGTGAAGTGGGAATTAAAAACGAAGGAATCGCTTTTGTGCAGTTCCTTGTTGGGTGACCAAACTCATCCATAGGAAAAATATCCAGTGAGAGCTGCCAAGGCACCTCCCAGGGAGTCCCTGGAGAGGAAAATCCCACTGCTCTGGTCTAAGCATCAGCACCAGCCACGGGGGGGATGGAATATTGGGATAAACAGACCTTTGGACTTGTCTTGGACAACATTCGTGATCCTGGAGCTTTCAGATCCCTTGTTCCACCTCCAGCTCAGTTTTTATGGGCACTCCAGTTCCAATCTGAAGGTGATGAATCATGAAATCATGGAATATCCTGAGCTGGAAAGGGACCCACAGATCCAGTTCCATGCTTGGGTCTCCCTGAGCTTCAGTGTGAGGATGTTGGGACCTCATCTTGCTGCTTCTGTGGTGGGAAAAATGCAAATCCTTTGGTGTCCAAGACTATAATTAGGCTCTGCTCACTGGGCCAGGTTTAAGAAGGGCAGAGGGAGGAGGAGACAAGCCCTGTTTTGTCCAAATTACCCTTGTTTTAGCTTCCCCCCCCAAACCTTCCGTTTTTACGGAGGCAGGTTAAAAAAAGAAGGTTGCAACTCGTTTTTCTTGCTTGAAATATTTCACTCCAGCACATGTTCGCTCGTCCTGGTGTTTGCACTTACATCTTGCTGATAATTTGTAGCTGGGGAAATAAAAAAAAACAGTTCCCTGTGTTGCCTTTGCCTTGAACTTGATGGATGGGAGCTCGGGAAAACGAGCTGACGCTGTTAGAAGGTCTTGTCAGGGCTTTCTGTTCAGTGGTCCTGGGTTGGTTTGTTTTTTTTTAACTTCCTGAGCTAAGACAGACTTTTGAGGACCTGCCTGGATGTGCTCTGGGAGCAGGCAGTGATTATGGCTTTGGGGGATAATTGTGGATCTCAGGCTGGCAGGAATGGCAGGATCCCTCCGGCAACGCTCCGGCCTCCTCGCCCAGAGGTCCTCTGTCAGCGCTGGGAGTGATATCAAACGATTTAAAATGAGATAAAATGAGATAAAAATAAACCCAACCAACCCTCCCACCCCGACCAACGTCATTGCCTCCTTGTCATTTGTAGTGGGTTGACCCTGGGTGGGTGGTAGGTCCCCACTAAAGCCACTCTCTCACTCCCCTCTGCAACTGGACAAAGGAGAGGAAAAAAAGCCAGGAAAGGATTCATGAGTCGGGATAAGAGCTGGGAGAGGTCAGTGACTGATCACCTTCACGGGCAAAACTCAATCCAAGTGGGGATAGTACTTAAATTTATTACTAACAAGATCAGAGCCAAAGAGTGAGAAGTAAAATAATCTTAAAAACACCTTCCTTCCTTCCATGTTCTTCCTCCTCCCCCCCAGTGGTGCAGGGGGACGGGAATGGGGATCACGGGCAGTTGTTGTTTCTGCTGCTGCTCAGGGAGAGGAGTTGAAGTCCTTCTCTTGCTCCCGTGGGGTCCCTCCCACGGGAGACAGTCCTGGATGGAGCTCTCCAGTGTGAGCCCATCCCATGGGAGACAGTCCTGGATGGACCTCTCTGGTGTGAGCCCATCCCATGGGAGACAATCCTGGATGGAGCTCTCCAGTGTGAGTCCATCCCACAGGAGACAGTCCTGGATGGACCTCCATGGTGTGAGTCCATCCCACGGGAGACAGTCCTGGATGGACCTCCACAGTGTGAGTCCATCCCACGGGAGACAGTCCTGGACGACAGTCCTGGATGGAGCTCTCTGGTGTGAGTCCATCCCACAGGAGACAGTCCTGGATGGACCTCCACGGTGTGAGTCCATCCCACGGGAGACAGTCCTGGACGACAGTCCTGGATGGACCTCACGGTGTGAGCCCATCCCATGAAAGACAGTCCTGGATGGAGCTCTCTGGTGTGAG